GGAACCGGGGACCGGAGCGTCCCAGCCGTCCCCGACCTAACCCCGCTGGCGGTTGCAGTTCGGGGACTGCCTGTACATCGCAGTGAACGGCGACGGGACGGAGAGCGAGGATGACCTGCGCCGGACGCTGTTCGTGCTGCGGCGCTTGGTGGAGGTCCACTGCGGCCTCGTCACGCTCGATTCCCACCTCCTCCGCAAGGAGTGAGTGGGCATGGGCTGGCCCCCCGGGGTTGAGGGGCAGCTGCCTTCATAGAGCCCAGGGGGAGGTGGGATCAGGTGTCTCCAAGCTGAGACCCCCCCTTTGCATCAGGACCCCCTGCGTGCTGGGCTGCAGCTGGGTCTTGTCTTAGGGTGCCCGTCCCCCCGCAGGGAGGTGACAGCCGTCTCTCAGCTCGCTCTCTGTGGCTGTTCCAGGTTGCGACCGGCCGATTCGGAGCAGCGGGAGCGTGTCTGGAGCCTGCTGCGCGGCCTGCTGGAGACCTACAGCCGCCTGCGGGAGGAGGACCAGAGCTTTGCGGTGGAGGTACCGTGCCCTGGGGTGTCCATCGCCTTGGGGCATCCCAGGGGTCTTGGGATGTGGGGAGCAGCGTTTGGCCAGGGACTTTGGGGGAGCTCCCTGGAGCAGTGGAAGCTCTGACCTGCCCCCAGGGCAGTGTGGCTGGGTCTGGGGGGGGGCTCAGCATCTTTCCCCCCTCCCTGCATCCCAGGCCGTGGAACGGCTGATCCACCCTCAGCTGTGCGAGCAGTGCATCGAGTTCCTGGAGCAGCAGGTGGTGCAGTACATCAACTCCAGCCCTGAGCGCGGTGGGGATGAGGTGTGCCATGCCTTCCTCCTGGTGCACACCAAGCTGCTGGCCTTCTACTCCAGGTGTGCCGGGCTCCACCACCCTCCCTTGGCAGCCACTGTCCCTCGCAGCTCATCTTTCCCTTCTCTGTTCTGCAGCCGCAACACCAGTTCCATCCGCCCCGCTGACCTGCTCATCCTCATCCTCCTAGTGCAGGACCTGTACCCCAGCCAGAGCATCGAGGAGGAGCTCAGCCCCCAGGTGCTCCAGAGCAGGGTGTGGGGCACAGTGGGTCAGGATGCCCCCATAAGGTGATGTCTTGGAGGGCTTAAGTTTTTCGCTCTTTTTGGAAGCCCACAGCGGAGAAGGTGCTCCCCCAGGGACCCCAGAGAAGTGAGAGCATTCCAGTGAGCAGCCCTGGCTCCCATGGAGCTGCAGAGAAGGACTCAGATGACCAGGTGAGTCCCTGGCATGGGGACCTGCAGGCTGGGCTGTGCATCACTCCCATTGCTGACCCAGCCATTCCCGCTAGCAGGACACAGATGATCTCTCTGTCCCTGAGGTCTACTATACCCCTGAGCCTTCTCCAGGCAGGCACAGCACAGGTGAGTGCCCAGCAGGGTAGCAGCCCCCTCCCTGCATGTGGGGCTGGCAGGGAGAGCAACCTGCCGTGCTCCCTGCAGGCAGTGAGAGCTGGTCAGAGGGCACTGAGATGCTGAGCACCGGGGAGGTGGATGCTGCAGATGTCCAGGTGAGCAAGGGGTCCTGCAGTCCCTCCTAGCCTGTCCTGGTGCTCTCTGTGGTCCCTGTTCCTTGCCACTTGTCACACAGAGCTGTGTACTGCACTGTGGGTGCCCCCAGCTCTAGGGTTAGGGGGATGCCCTGTGTCTGCCACACTGTGTGTAACTGTGACAGCTCTGACCACTCTCTCTGAGGCACTGCTTACAGTCTCTGTGTCCAGAAGTGTCAGTGCAAAGGGGCTGGGGCTCTCTCAGAGCAGTCTGGTGTCTCCCTCTGCTGCCTCTGGGCTTTCTGGGCTGCTTCCCTGACAGATGCCACAGGGCCTCACACACTCTGTGCAAGCAACTGCGAGCCTCAGCAGAAGGCATTTGCAGCCTGGTTTTGCAAGCAGCTTACTCACTACTTGCTGCTCTTCTGGGGCCCCTGGGCACTTTGCTCACTGCTGATCTTTCGTCACGTGGCCTCTCCAGCTCCCTTGGTTAAGTCATGCCTGTCTGCAGCTTTCAGGGCATTGCTGCGGGCTGTCTCATCTCTTCGGGGGCTGAGCATCTCCTTTCTCTCCCTAGATGGCGGAGGACTTGCTCCAGACCTTGGGGCCTCTGGTCCCTGAAGCTTCAAACCCCAGGAGGATCTTCCTGGATGCCAACCTGCGGGAAGGTTACTGCCCCTTGCTGCCACACACCATGCACTGCCTCCCGCTCTGGCCGGGCATCTCCCTCATCCTCCTGACCAAGGTTAGCTCACTCTAAGGCGAGGGATGTGACGCTGCGCTGGGTCCTGGCTCACCCACATCTCCCTTCCCCAGCAGGGCCCCATGACCCAGGTGGCCATCACCTTGTACCAGCTGCTGGATGGTTTCTTGGTGCTGGAGAAGAAGCTGGAAGAGGGGCCGGAGGCAGGAGCCCCACGCTCCTACCCATTTGTGGCTGAGCTGCGGCAGCGCATGGATAAGTTTGTGAAGAAGCTGAGCGGGCAGGACATCCAGGTGCGAGTGGGGACGTGCGGACCCCATGCTGCTGTCCCCACTGCCTGATGCTGAGCCTGGTCTCTCTCTAGTTGCAGAACACCTGGGTAGACTTCAAAAATAAGATGTTTTCCCGGACCGAGCCTGGAAGCTGCCTGGAGTGAGTATGGGATAGCTAGGGAAAGCCTCCAGGGCAGGCTGGGGGCAGCGTGGCTGTCCCTGCGGTGCTGGAGACCATGGGGCCAAACTCAGCAGCATCCGTGTCTGCGTGCTCAGGCTGCTGCAGGCAGTGTCCAACATGAAGCAGCAGCTCTGCTCCGTGTACCGCCAGCTCTTCCTGACTTCTGCCAGCCACAGCTTGTCCCAGGGGCTGCGGGACCGTGCCCAGAAGCTGATGAAGTGAGTGCATGGGGTGGCCAGCATCCCCAGGGAGCTGCCACACACCCAGCTCTGCTGGGGCTTGGCGGGTCCTGGCCTCCCACTGTGCTGCTTCTTGGCAGGGAGAAGCTGCTGGACTGGCGGGACTTTCTGCTGGTGAAGAGCAGGCGCAATATCACCATGGTGTCATACCCATCCCTGCCCGGCGAGGAGGGGTCCCCAGGGGGGTAGCAGAGGTGGGAGCGAGACAATGTACCCCCATCACTGGGCTCAAGGGGAGGAGTGTGGTAGGCGAAGGGGCTGTCCTGGGGGGGCACCAAAGTCGTTGGACACCCTTAACCAACCCCACGTACCTGGAGGACTTTCCTGGCCTGGTGCACTTCATCTACGTGGACCGCACATCTGGGCAGATGATGGCACCATCACTCAGCATCACGGAGAAGTCCAGCTCAGAGCTGGGCAAGGGCCCTCTGGCCGCCTTCATCAAGAGGAAGGTACTGCTTGTGGGGCTAAGGGTGGGATGGGGGAGCCCAGGAGGAGGTGATGGTTGGAGGGTTTTCTGCTCGGGTTTCAGGTGCCCCTTGTCCCCCAGGTCTGGTCCCTAATCACACTGGCCCGGCGATACCTACAGAAGGGCTACACGACGCTCATGCTGCAGGATGGCGACTACTGCTGCTCCTACTTCCTCTGGTTTGAGAACGAGCTGGTATGTGGGGTCAGATAAGGGCTGAGCCTCTCTTCCCCAGCACCTTCTCAGGGCAGGGCTGTAGGCACAGTTGGCTTCAGCTCTCGGCAGTCTCTTGCCTGCTCCTGCCCTCGCCTGTCGTCTCTCCCCAGGGCTACAAGCTGGAAGTGATGGAAGTGCCAGTTCTCTCCGATGATTCTGCTCCCATTGGGATGCTGGCAGGAGACTACTACAGGTGAGCGGTCCCTAGCCATGTTGCTTGGTACCAGCGCCTGAGGCTGTTAGTGATGCTGTTCACACTGGGATGTCACTGCAGGATGGTACCAGTGCTGTGGTGCCACCAGCCCATCTCCCGAGCCTGGTGCAGGGGTCCTGTCAGTAGACAGGCACTGTGTCCTTGCCTTCCTTTCTAAGGGGAAGGTGGTTAGAAAGGGGGTACTAGTGTGCACTGTACCTGCTGAGCCCCCCGTCTTCTCTCCAGGAAGCTGCTGCGTTACTATAGCAAGAACCACCAGGCAGAAGTGGTGAAGTGCTACGAGCTGCTGACTGTGCACCTCGGCATCATCCCCTCCGAGCTCGTGGTCCAGCAGGCCTGCGACTTGGCCCGGCGCCTCTGGGAGCCCTCCCGCATCCCCCTGCTCTGAGCTGCCTCCAGCCACCTTGGGCCAGGATTAAAGCAGGGCTGTGGGTGTTCCCGATGCATGGGCTGCTTTCTCAGTGTCTGTGCTGTTGGCTCTACCTTCCCCTCCTTCAGCCCAGCTCCCCATGCGCTTCGCTGGCACCCAGCAGCCTTCAGGGACAGGCGGAGAGCGGGGCTGAGAGGTTGTTGGCAAATCACCATCTTGCTGAAAAGTGTGTTTCCAAAGAAGGATTTATAGCAGTAGCTTGGCATCGCTGACAGGCGTTGGCTAGAGAAGAAAACAGCGTAGCCAGACCTGTGTGGATGAATGGCCCATGGTGCACCCCCTCTCCTCTCTCCCCAGATGTGGGGTGCAGGGCCCTCGAAGGGTTGGGAAGGGTTGGGGAGGTGCAGACCTGGGCTCCCAGGCATCACTTGGCCATAGAGCCAAGCCCAGCTGTGAAGAGGGGCTGAGGTAGCTCATGTGTCTCCCAGGTACCTCTGCAAACCCATTGGGCACAGCTCGGGATGGGGTCAGCCCCAAAGGACTCTGGCAGAGGCTGCCCCTTGTCATTCCATGCTGCTCACTAGGGCTGGGTACAGCAGTTCAGGGAGCACTGGACCATGTCAGGGCCTTTGCCCCATCCTGTTGGGCAGGAATTTTCCTTACTGAGCAACAGCACTGGGTTGGGGCCAAGCACACCCCTTTTCCTGCTGCTCTCAGGGCTGTACTTTGGGCTTACTACTTGAGGGGGACTAAGTTCCCCTTATCCTGCAGTGCTTTTTAGCCCATCACACCTAACACTTGTTCCTGGAGCAGGTCAGGGGATGGGGAGCTCTCAGGCCCCCGCCTCCAAGCCCATCACCTTCCTGTGTACAGACTGGGGAAGGTGCTGGGCAGTCTTTAAGGACCACCTTCCACCTCCTCAGCGCTGGGGCTGGCCTGCACCCCCCTGCACGCCCTCAGCAGATCTCTGCTGGAATCAGCGCCTTGCCACAGGCAGCACCAGTGGGGCAGCGGTCAGTGCGTGGCCCTGTCCTGAGCAGGCTCCTGCAAGCCCCGGGAGGCAGCTTCCGTCCCCGACTGCTGCCGTCCTCGTCCCCGTCCCCCCCTCCCCGTGCCCGGAAGCCCTGGGAAAAGTTCCGCTGTGGAAGCAAAGTCCGTGCTGGCGGTCGCAGCCATGGCCGGGCACTGGGCAGCACTGGGCAGGGGCTGCGCTGCCCGCGGGCTGCGGGGCTGGCTCCTTTCCCCAGCGCGGCGGGCCCATGCGGGGGCTGCAGAGCGGCTGCAGCGGGAGTACGATGCGGTGGTGATCGGGGCAGGTAATGCAGGGCGAGGGAGCCAGTGATGGGCAGTGGGGAGCCGGTGGGGACGCCAAGCCAACCCTCCCCTCACTGCAGGCAGGAGGGTGATGGCCGGATGGGGATCACAGCGGTGCAGGGCACCAACACTGGGCTCACCTCACCTCATTCTTTTCCTTGCAGGGCACAATGGGCTGGTGGCAGTGAGTACCAAGAGCACAGTGGTGCTGTCTCTCCCCCATCCCTGGGGATAGCCGAGGAGCAGGGAGGGTGTTGGTGGCGGTGTCCATGGCGCTGGGAAGCAGGGCCGTCCCTGATGAGAGGATGATGGGGCTGACAAGGACATATCCCACCGGGAGGGATGGGCAGGGTGATGCCGTGTTCCCTGCAGGCAGCCTACCTGCAGCGGGCAGGGCTGCGCACGGCTGTGCTGGAGAAACGCCATGTGCTGGGCGGTGCGGCTGTCACAGAGGAGATTGTGCCAGGTACCCCTCCCTGTGTGTCCCCTGTCCCCACACCCCCGGCCAGCCCTGCACATGGGCACCCCCCGCTGCCACACAACTTTCAGGCTTCAAGTTTTCCCGGGCATCCTACCTGCTCAGCCTGCTGCGGCCGCAGATCTACACTGAGCTGGAGCTGCAGGTACCGGCACCCATCCCTCGCTGGCTGCTGGCTCCCCCCGGCACACTGACAGGGTGAGCCCGCTGCCAGGCTGTCCCCGCACCGTGGGTCCTGCCATGGCTGTCTTGCAGCGACATGGTCTGAGGGTGCTCCCACGGGACCCCTACTCCTTTACCCCGCTGCTGGAGGACAGGAGCCCCCCCCGCTCCCTCCTGCTGGGAAACAACAGGGCCCAGACCCAGCAGCAGATCGCTCAGTTCTCCCAGAAGGATGCCCAGGTACTACTTGGGGAGAGGCACCCAGTATGGCAAAGCCTCTGAAGGGGCTGCCCTGCCCATGGGGCGGCAGGGTATCCATCGCACCCACCATGGCGCAGTCCCCATAGTCCCCCTCCATCCCCTTTCAGGCTTACCCTGAATATGAGGCATTCATGGAGAGTTTAGTGTCAGCCCTTGACCCGCTGCTGGATGCTGCCCCAGTGGATACAGCTGCCCTGGGGCAGGGCTCCCTGCTCCAGCAGCTCAGTGCTCTGCGATCCCTGTGGCCCCTGCTGCGGGCAGGTACATCTGGGGTGCTGGAAGACGCGATGGCTGCTCTTCCCCAGGGCACAGGCTCCTCAGGAGCCCCAGCTGGGGGCTTGGTCCTGCTGCCTGACCCCCAGACCCAGCTGGGCATGGGCAGCTTGCCCTAGCACATGGATGCAGGTCTCACACTACCTCTTACCCCCAGGGCTGGCGCTGGGGCGGCAGCTGCCCCGCTATTACGAGGTGCTCACAGCCCCTATCTCCAAGGTGAGTGCTGGCAGTGTCAGTGTGGAGGCACCAGCTGCCTCGCTGCCTGCCTGCAAGGGTGCTGCGGAGCCCCCAGCCCCAAACCTGATGCTCTCTTTTATTCCTGGCCCAGATCCTGGATCAGTGGTTTGAGTCGGAGCCCTTGAAGGCAACTCTGGCTACTGATGCGGTGATTGGAGCCATGGCTAGCCCCCACACCCCGGGCAGTGGGTGAGGGTCCTTTCCCCCTCATGTCAGCAGCTCCTTGGCTCTGCTGCAGCCCAGTACCCTATGCCCTCCCCAGCTGCCCATCCCTCCCATTGCCTGCTCAGCCTTGCCTGGATGGCTCAGGGGCTGGGGCTGGGCAAGGGGCTGCTCCCCATCCCTGCTGTATGGCTCTCCTGAGTGGTCCTCACCACCCCCTTTGCTGTTTGAACACCTCTGTCCCCAGATCAGGTCAAGTCCTGACCAGTGGGTGCTGCCTGTAACTGAGCTGGCACCCCATAAGCTGGCATGGTCCCATCTGTGGGGGCTGTGGCACCATCCTCACTGTGCCCATGCAGGGGACAGACCTGTCACGTTGGCTAACAAGGGGTCCTGCCACCACAGGTACGTGCTCTTGCACCATGTGATGGGTGAGCTGGAGGGACGGCGGGGGGCCTGGGGCTACGTGTCCGGTGGGATGGGAGCCCTGTCCCAAGCCATTGCCAGTGCAGCAGCTGCCAGGGGAGCCCACATTTTTGCTGAGAAGGTACGGGGTGCCTGGGGAGCAGCCTGCAGGCACTGGGGATGCTCATGGTGAACTCCTGTCACCTCTGCCCGCCCAGGCTGTGTCCCATGTGCTGCTGGGCAGGGATGGGCAGGCGCAGGGCGTTGTGCTGCAGGATGGGATGGAGGTGAGGAGCAAACTGGTGCTGTCCAATGCCTCACCCCAGATCACCTTCCTGGAGCTCATCCCCCAGGTACGGGGTGCAGCAGGCTGGTGGGGGCTTGGCACGGCAGTGTCCCCTGGCCACACCACCCCTCACCACCAGCCTTTGTACCGGCATCTCCCACCCCAGGAGCAGCTGCCCAAGGATTTTGTCCGGCGGATCCAGCAGGTTGACACGCGCTCCCCAGTCACCAAGATCAATGGTAGGGTCACCCCTGCCGCTGTCCCTGCTGGAGGGACACTGGCTGCAGGCTCAGCAAGAGGCTGCACCCCACTTCCCCTTTCCCACCACCCATTCCCAGTGGCGGTGGATCGGCTGCCCAGCTTCCTGGCTGCCCCCAATGCCCGCGATGGCCAGCCCCTGCCCCACCACCAGTGCTCCATCCATCTCAACTGTGAGGACACCCACCTCCTGCACCAGGCCTTCACTGAGGCCACCCATGGGCACCCCTCCAGCAGGTAGGAGCCCACACCAGCACACCATGCTGCACCAGGGGCAGGGAAGGGGCTGGGTCTCCTGCCTGCCTGGCTCATGTCCTGCTTCCCCAGGCCCATGATCGAGCTCTGCATCCCCTCAGTGCTGGATCCAGGCCTGGCCCCACAGGGCTGCCATGTTGTGTCCCTCTTCACCCAGTACACCCCCTCCATGCTGGCAGGTGGGAGGCACTGGGATGAGCAGGCCAGAAATGCATATGCAGACACAGGTATGTAATACATACATGGACCCAGGTAACACCAGCAGTGCTGGTCCCTTCCTGGGGTTAGAGCTGCCCTGGAGCTGCTCAGGTGCTGGCCACCATCTCCTTGCCCACCCCTCCATCCCTTTCTAGTGTTTGACTGCATTGAAGCCTATGCCCCAGGGTTCAAGGCATCCGTCATCGGCAGAGACATCTTGACACCACCTGACCTGGAGAGGATCTTTGGGCTGCCTGGTGGGGTAGGTACCATGCTGTCTTAGCTCTGAGCATCACTCTGGTGCCTGTTCCAGTGCGCACACAGCCCTGGACCGGGCATAGCCAGCTCACATAGAGGTCTCGTTGCAGAACATCTTCCATGGAGGGATGTCTCTGGACCAGCTGTACTTCGCCCGGCCAGCACCATCCTACTCAGGCTACCGGTCCCCAGTTCCTGGCTTGTATCTATGTGGAAGTGGAGCCCATCCTGGTGAGCAGTGCTGGGAGCCAGGACCTTACTGGGGAGCTGCAGAAGGGGGGTGGGGGTGTGTGGAAGAGATGCAAAGGCATCATGATGGGGAGTGTGTCCATCACCCTCTCTGCCCTCTCAGGGTCAGGAAGATGGGGCAGCTCTGCTGGTGCAGCCCTGCACCCCATCTGAGTCTGGAGCTGCCCATTTCTGCTCTCTGCAGGAGGAGGAGTGATGGGAGCTGCAGGACGCAACGCTGCCCATGTGGCCCTCCAGGACTTTAGGCACCTGTGATGGCAATGATGACACCAGCTTCACCTATACAGGGCTGTGGCTGCAGTGAGCCATGTTGATCCCATGCAGGGCCCTGCCCATCCACAGCTTGCTTCCCAGGCACCACAGGACAGCAGCAGCCTCCGAGAGCTTTGTGGAGGTGAAGGCTGGCAGGTCCCATGTGCTGCCAGCACCTTGAACACATAGCTACTCCCAGCACTCCGCAGTCCAGCCTTACCTGGGTGACTCCTGGGCACTGAGCATCACTCAGCCCCTGCCTATAGCTGTGGAAATAAACCCTGGTTCAGGCGCTGTCCTGAGCACTCTTGCTGTCATTTTGCAGCTCCTAGTGCCTGGCAATGCAGCCCTGGGTGAGCTGTCAGAGATGGGCATGTCCTACAGCAGCAAATGGGGACAACCAGCTCCTCACCCTCTTCCCTCACCAATGCAGGCTCAGGAGCATGTAGGGCTCTGGTTGGAGCCACCCACACCCAGGCTGGGCTGGACCACCCCAAGGTACCCAGAACAAGTGGGGAACCAGGTTGGTTCTTGAGACCTGCTTTGCTGCCTGGAGCCACCAGCAGCTCAAAACACTGCAGTAGCCAGCACTGGCAGCTCCCCCCACACGCCCCACACCCCCATTCCTGCTGGGAACTGCCTGCACGTGTTCCATCCCTAGGGAAGATGCTCCGTGCATCCCAGTGGCTCTCGCTGGCGCAGGGTGTGCCCCTCTCCCGGGCTGCTGCCGGGAGCCGCTCGCTGCAGATTACAGAGCTCACATCCTCTCCCTGCCCTCTTCCTCCCCTGGACAATGCTCCCGATTCAGGCGCCCGCCTCGCCTCCCGCCGGACCCTAAATACAGCGCTTCCAGGCTGAGCTGTTGCACCTGAGCTGCCTGAATCAATATTGACCGGCCAGGAATAGTCCCGCAGCCCTCTGAGAATAGCCCCGCACCCACACACACACCACCCCTCCCACCCCCCCTCCCCGCTGCCCACAGCTTCCCGCACGGGGCTGCCCTGCTGCTGGGGTGCCGGCACTCGCTGAGCCCCGAAGGGTGGCAGCAGCAGGCGTGACAGTGCAGGGGGTCACCTCCACGGGGACACTGAGCAGCAGGACACGGTGTCCCCGGTGCTGCGGGTTGAGGCTGGCAGGTCCCATCTGTGGGGGAGACCACCGGACCCCCTGTTGTCCCCATGAACAGAGGTAGAGCTGGGAGCGGGACCCAGCACCACCCTGCCTTGCACCCCTGTCGGCATCTGCCCTGGGGGGCCTTTGGGCAGGCTTCTCACCTCACACTGGAGTAATTGAGCTCAAAAGCGTCGAGACACACGAGTGAGTCACGGGTTACACAGCTGGCCACAGCCCTGCCCTTCCCAAGGGCTTTCCGTGCCCCAATGTCGGGGTGGGCCACGGACCCCTGCCCCAAGAGAGGCTCCAGCATGTCCCTGAACCCAGCTAGAGCACAGGGATGAGTGTGCCCCCCGAGGGGGTTCCCGGGCCGTGCACCCCTGCACACGCAGAGATGCTGGAGGCTCCCGTGGGACGTGGCGATGAGCTCACGGGCTATTCCCGGCCAGCTGTGTTGATCCTGGCTCCTCCCGGCAGGAACCGGCTGCCTCGACTCCAAACAAACAGCCCGGTGGCCACCGGCACATTCCTGGCCGATCCCTGGCCACGGCAAGGGCACAGGGCTTCCTGTTTATCCCCGTCCCATGGCGTGGCACGGCGGGCTCTGTGGGGACTGGCAGCACCCCAAGCCGGAGGTTGCTCCTGGGGCAGGTCAGGGAGGACATCCCCCATCTCCATGTCCCACGGCTGTGCCTGGAGTCCCCCACAACCAGCCCTGCTCAGGGATGGCTCAGGTGATGCCCTGAGCCCTTGGAGGACCGTGCTCTAGGCTCCCGGTGCTACCCCACAGCCTTCCCTGGTCTATGTGTCCCCCAAGTCCTGGGTCCATTGCAGCAGCTTCAGGCCACTGCTTGAGTTGCTGCGTGGGGTGGGAAGGGGCAGGGGGTGTCCTTTTGGGGTACCCCAAGTGTGGCAGTGTCCTCTGCCTGGATGGGGACCAGCCCCACCGTACAGCAGTGCTGGGCATGGGGGGGGTGGGGAGCATCCCTGACTGGGGGGCATTGGGCTTATTTTAGGGGAGGTTTTCCAGGCTCCCGGCAGGTAGGGGCTATCCCAGGGATGCTTGGACCCCCCCGAGGTGGTGGGGGAGAGAGAGGGGTTGGGGCAGGTTTTCCCCAGGGTGGCAGATGGGGACAGAGGGAGGCAGGGTGCAGGGCTGGGCTGCAGGCACCGTGCGGGGGGGCCGGGGCCGGCCTGGGCAGCGTGGGCTCCCCCGGTGCGTCCCACCCCGCCGCACCATAAAAGCGGCGGCAGGCGGTGCTCGGCAGCAGGAGCTGTTGGAAGCCGGCGGAGCTTCCCCTCAGCATCGCCTGCCCCACGCTGCTGCCCGACCCGCACCGGCAGCCCCGGCCACGGTGAGCGCTGCGGGTGGCTCCGGCGAGGGATTCGGGCACCTGGAGGGAGGGTGAGCAACCCCACTAGTGGGGATGCGGGGAGAGGTGGGGTGATGGGGAACAGGGGCTGTGTACAGGATGGGGAGGGGACTCTGGTGGTCAGGTGGGGGATAAAAGGGGGCTCTGTGGGTCCCCGAAGCGTGGGGCAGGCAGGAAGCAACAGGCGCCCGGGTGGTGTTCATGGCGCAGTGGGTGCCTGGAAGGGCTGTGCCACAGTTGGGTACCCCCAGTGAGGGGCAGGTGAGTGTGGGGCTGGGGCAGAGCCTCGGGATGGGGGATGCTGTGAGCTGTGGGATGCTGTGAGTTGTGCATGGCAGGGACCAGCTCCTGCGTCCCCCACAGAGCAAGGACAAAGATGTCACTGCCATGCAAAGGGGTATGATATCCCTCAAATGATGAGGCACAGGGTGGCTGCAGCAGCACCCCTCACCCTGCCGCGGTCCCCAAGTGCTCAGTGTCGGGCTGTCTGCAGGCATCCCATCCCCAGAAGCACGATGGTGATGCCAGCTAGCGCCAGCCTCCTCCTGCTGGTGCTGGTGCTGCTGCTGTGCTGGGTGGCCCCCAGCAAGCAGGAGCCAGCGCCGGTGCAGCTGCGGCTGGCGGGGCCCCGAGGCCCGGCCGGGGAGGGACGGCTGGAGGTGCTGTACCAGGGGCGCTGGGGCACCGTCTGCGACGATGGCTTTGACTTCCATGTGGCCACCGTCGCCTGCCGGCAGCTGGGCTACACCGCGGCCATCACCTGGACCCATAGTGCCACCTACGGCCAAGGGGAAGGTAGGGGGCAGGTGGGGAATGGGGGGGACAAGGGGTCTTGGCAAGTGTGGTGTGCTTAATGCTGGTGTGGGGAGCCTGCCTGGGAAGCTGCAGGTGTGGGCAGCTGCGGGTGTGGGCAGCGTGGATGGATGCAGCCCATGGTGATGGGGAAGGAGATGGGGTCCCCCCAGTGGTGACCCCATCCCTGCCATGTGTGCCCCAGGCCCCATCTGGCTGGACAATGTGCGGTGTGGGGGTAGCGAGAGCTCCCTGGCAGAGTGTGTTCACAACGGGTGGGGCACCAGCGACTGCCACCACGGTGAGGATGCCGGCGTGGTGTGCTCGGGACAGCGCGGGCCCAGCGGCTCCCCCCAGGCCATCTCCTCTGGTCACCTGGGAGAGGTCAGTGGGGGGCATGGGGCTCTCCTATGCCCCATAGGGCACACCAGGGGGACTGGAGCAGGTCCCTCTGACCCGTCCCCGTGTCCCCATCCTGAACACACTGCCCCTGATGCTGGAGCCCCCGCAGCCACCCCTGTTCCCACTGCAGCAGGTGCGAGGGCTGAGCCTGGAGGAGGTGCAGCTCAAGCCCATCCTGGCGCGGGCCAAGCTGAGCATGCCGGTGACGGAGGGTGCCGTGGAGGTGAAGCACAACGGGCGCTGGAGGCAGGTGTGCGATGCTGGATGGACCAGGAACAACAGCCGTGTGGTCTGCGGGATGCTGGGCTTCCCCCGGGAGAAGCACCTCGACACCAGCTTCTACCGGTAAGGGGTGCAGGGGCCCACATTGCAGCCATAGGGGATGTGGGGCAGGGCGCCTGGTTGGATGCACTGTGGGACAGGAGACCAAGGGAGGTGTTGGAGGGGGATGCACACATGGGTGGGGGTACTGATACGGCCTGGCCATGCCTGGGTCCCCTTCTTGGGGCCTGGATGAGGGGCAGAGCTTGGTGCTGTGGAGATGGTCACCAGCCATGGCCAGCACATCATGGGTGCAGGAGAGGAGAGGCAAGTGGCCCTGGGCCCCTCCGCCCCTGCCTCCGTCTGGGGCTATAAATACAACCCATAATGAGCCCCTGCTGATGCCAGGAGTCGCGCAGTCCCGCCGGGGCACACGGCACAGCACGGCACGGTAATTGCCACTGGGGAGAGGACCTGTCCTCATCCTGCTGTGCCGTGGGAGGACCTCACGGCTCCAGCTCCTGCCATGGGGTGCTGGGATGATGACAGGATGGGGGATCTGGAGCCCTGCAGCTTCCGCATGGCCTCCCTGACCTGCTGGCTCTGTGTACCCACAGGAAGCTCTGGAACAAGAAGCTGAAGGACCCCAAGTCCCGGTAGGGTTCAGCCTGGGTGTGACTGTTGGGCAGGGGACAGCCTGGGGCACCCAAGCTGACAGCAGACCCTGCTCCTCTCCCTTGGCAGCCTGAAGACCCTCAGCCAGAAAAACAGCTTCTGGGTGCACAGGGTGCGATGCCGGGGCACGGAGCCCCATCTGTCCCGCTGCCCCACGGAGGTGTCCCCGCCAGCCCCCCACCAGCACGCCTGTCCCCACGGCATGCATGCCATCGTCAGCTGCCTGCCCGGCCCTGCCTTCCGGAAGGGCACAGACAAGGGCAGGAGCAAGACTCCCCCAGGAAAGGTGAGCCCCAGCATAACCCCATCCTGCCGATGGATGGTCCTGGAGCCGGGCAGCACCCAGCGCCCCATTGCACAGGTGGGGGGCCATGCCTTGGAGCCGCTGACTGGCTGTTCCCCGTGCCCAGGTGCTGCCGGTGCGGCTGCGAGCAGGCACCCACGCCGGCGAGGGACGGGTGGAGGTGCTGCGCCATGGGCAGTGGGGCACTGTGTGTGACAAGCAGTGGGACCTGGCCGCGGCCAGCGTGGTGTGCCGGCAGCTGGGCTACGGGACGGCAAAGCAGGCCCTGCTGGGAGCCCAGATGGGCCAAGGTGAGAGGCAGCATGGCAGGGGCTCAGAGTGGCACTGGGCTTGGAGGGGCACAAAGGGGAAAGCCCCTGGTTTACTGGGTGCTGCTGGAGCACCCTGGGATGTCCACTGGGAGGGGTCTCCCCTGGCTGCTCCTGCTATGGGCAGCTCCATTCCCATAGGGAATGCACAGATGAGGGGAAGGAAGGTGAGGGTTCTCCCTGCTCCAGGATGAGCATGGGGACTTGACTATCCCTCTGACTCAGGCCTGGGGCCCATCCACATGAGCGAGGTACGGTGCACTGGCCATGAGCGCTCCCTGGGCGAGTGCCGCTTCCAGGATGCTGAACAGAGCGGGTGTCGGCATGAGGCTGATGCTGCCGTCCGCTGCCACGTCCCCAACACGGACTTCAAGAGCCAGGTGAGCCCCTGAGTCCTCCCCAGAGCCTGCAGAGCACCACTGCCCCCCAGGCTCTGTGCCTGGTGTGGGTGCTCAGAGCAGCATGAAGATGGGGGGTGGCAAAAGTGGCCCTGTAAGGAAAGGAGGAAGAGGAAGGCAGAGATGTTCACCTGGATGCATGGGGATGCCCGTCCCATTGAGCTGCTGGGTGGGGGATCTGGGGGCCTGCCCCACACTGCAGCTCAGCCCCTCTCCCCGCAGGTTCGTCTGGCCGGGGGCCGCAGCCCCGATGAGGGAGTTGTGGAAGTGCTGGTGCCGGTGCAGGGGCAGCTGCAGTGGGGCGCAGTGTGCGGTGCACAGTGGGGGCTCAACGAGGCCATGGTGGTCTGCAGGCAGCTGGGGCTGGGCTTTGCCAGCCATGCCCTCCAGGTGAGCGGGGTCCCAGCGGGGTCTGGGCTGCAAGGGGTCCTATGGGATGTGAGGTGTGGGCATGGGGTGGCCAGAAGCTCTGGGGCGGGACAGCCCCTGGTGGCAGTGCAGGGGAGGTGGGGTGGGTGCTGGCATGGATGCAAGAGCTGATCTGAGCACTGTGCTCCTCCTCTGCCCAGGAGACGTGGTATTGGGCAGGCAGCCCCGATGCCAGCCGGGTGGTGATGAGCGGGGTGCGCTGTGCCGGCACCGAGCTGGCCCTCCAGCAGTGCCAGCGCCATGGCCCCATCCACTGCCCCAGCGGCGGCGGGCGCTTCTCAGCGGGGGTCACCTGCACTGCCCGTGAGTACCGTGAGCCCATGGATTAATGCTGCTACGGGGCACCCCCTGCCCTGGCACGGAGAGATGGGGGTGCTCTGCAAGGTGGGGATTGTGTGCTCCATGCCTGCCAATGCTCTCCATGCCAGACGCCCCGGACCTGGTGATGAACGCCCAGCTCGTGCAGGAGACAGCCTACCTGGAGGACCGGCCACTGGAGCTGCTGTACTGTGCCCATGAGGAGCGCTGCCTCTCCCGCTCCGCCGACCACATGCAGTGGCCCTACGGCCATCGCCGCCTCCTCCGCTTCTCCTCCCAGATCCACAACCTGGGCAGAGCCGATTTCCGACCCAAGATGGGACGCCACGCCTGGACCTGGCACCAGTGCCACCGGTGAGTGTCCTGTGGGTAGCGGTTGGCAGGGAGCTGCCCCCTCCCCGAGCCAAGCAGGGCACACTGGCACCCATCCTGCAGAGGCTGACCCGCCCGGGGTAATGAGCAGCATCCGCACCAGCACTGTCATTACAGCTTTATTTGGCTTCAGGGCTGTAATTTGCTCAGAGCTATGGGTGCTGCCTGCTCCCAGCTGGGCGGCTGTGCCAGCCACGTGCTCCCCAGCCGGGCATCAGCCCCACGCTCATCCCCTGTCCCTGCAGGCATTTCCACAGCATCGAGGTCTTCACCCACTATGACCTTCTGACACTCAATGGTTCCAAGGTGGCTGAAGGGCACAAGGCCAGCTTTTGCCTGGAGGACACCAACTGCCCCGAGGGTAGGTGCCGGCCGCAGCGCTGCCAGCAAAGCCCCCATCCTGCTCCCCACAGGGGGCTCTGCTCCTGCCCTCCCTCACATCACCTCCCTGCCGCAGGGCTGCAGAGACGCTTTGCCTGCGCCAACTTTGGGGAGCAGGGGGTGAGCGTGGGGTGCTGGGACACCTACCGCCACGACATCGACTGCCAGTGGATCGACATCACCGATGTGCCACCTGGCAGCTACACCTTCCAGGTATGGGGATGGAGCTCAGCATGGAGCTCAGCATGGACACCACCGGCACCCCTCACCCTGTACATTGAGGTGCTGCTCTGCACCCCACCACGCACACTACAGCCCTGCCTGGCACAGCAGTGCTGCCCTTCACCCTCCCCAGGTGGTTGTGAACCCTAAGCACGAGGTGGCAGAGTCGGACTTCTCCAACAATGTGATGCGGTGCCAGTGCAAGTACGATGGGCAGCGTGTCTGGATGCACGGCTGCCACACAAGTATGGAGAGACGGGAGCGTAAGGGGCACGGCAGGTGGAGGGAGGAGATGGGGCTGGGGTACTGCAGGTCCCATGTCCCCCCACCACCAACCCATGCCGTTGATCTTCCCAGGTGATGCCTACGGTGCTGATGTCGTGAATGACCTGGAGCGACGGGAGCGCCTGGCCAACAACCTGGTGTAACCCCATGGCATTGGCACGCTCCCAGCAGTGTCGCAGGGCTGCCCAGCTCCCACACCCCAGCCCCTGTGCCCTGGCAGCACCAACACTGAGCTCAGGGACTCGAAGACTTTTGTATTTATTGATGCTGCTGCAGCGGATGGAGACAAGCACCAGGGCCGGTGGGGAGTGCCCGGGGGGGGTGCTCAGCCCCGCACCATCAGGACCTGCAAGAGGGGCCCAGGTACCACAGCAGCGCCCACCTTGGTGGCTCCGGTCCCCCCCCCCAGGATGACTACCTCAGCCTGCTGCCTCGGGACAGGCCCTGGCCACTGCCACCTGTGCACCAGTCCTGTCCTCAATAAAGGTGCTGTGCTATGGGAGATGGGGTATCCCCTTATCAACCCCAGCAGCCCCTGCTCCTTCCTCTGCGCTATTCCCCACCAGGACCATGAAGCCAGTCCCCAACCAGGATCAGCCCTGGTCCAGGTGATGTGTCCCTGCTCTGCCACCCAGAGCCACCAGCCCCCTTGCTGCCTGCATGTGGCTCGTGCCAAGCAGCCCTGGCTTGCCACCAGCAGTCCCCACCAGCCAGGGCACCCTGGCCCTGAACTGCCTGACCCCATGCACACAAGGGGATGTGGCCAGCCCTGCGGCAGCACGGGCCGGCAGCCAGCCCACCAGCCACTGCGGCTGCAGCCACCGTGCTGGGCTTTCCCAGGCTGCCCTGGCAGCTTCCCAGCCCTAGAGCGGGAATGGGGCCGCTCAGCCCCTTGGAGCCCTGGCTCCTGAGCACAGGGTGGGGATGCAGTGGACACCATGCCCCTGCTCTCAGCGTTTCTCTCCCCCCATGGTTCCTAGTTGGTTTTTTTAATGAAAGGAAATAAATGGAATATCAGCACCCCACGCTCTGTCCTGCCCGGCCTCCTGTGAGTCAGCTGCTGAGCACTGCCACCCCTTTCATTGCACACCTCTGCCCGTGCCATCTCACTGCCAGACACCAGCCCAGGGCAGGAGGCTGCAGCAGCCAGGGTAGGCTGGGCTGAACCCACACATGACCTGTGGAGGAGCCACCAGGCATGGTGCTGACGCGCCGGCGTGGCCCGGGACCAAGTCTGTGGCAAGGCACGTACCGGTGAAGGCTTGCTCTGCCGGTGTGAGGGTACAAGGGATGCCGGATGGTGGGGAAGATGCTTTCCACATGAGAGCATCATCACACCCTGGTATTTCCACTGTCTGAGCCACAAGCAGCCAGGAGCAGTGGCTGAGATGCTGGCAGCACTACCAGAACAGGGGCAGGCAGCCACTACTGCAAGGTCGTGACCAGCTCCACTGCCGCCAGGCTGGGGGACAGCCAGGGGACATGGGGCAGCCACAGGAACCCTTCAGCACAGGCTGGGGTGAGGCAGCCACAAAGGAAAACACAGACGATGGGCAGGGGTGGAGGAAAATCATCATCCCCGTCCCCACCTGCTACAAAGGGCAAGGGAACTCCACAAACTTTGGCCCCAAGAGCGTGGGTGAGCTACAGGGCAGGACTGCTGGGGCACACAGGGATGGGTTTGGGGTACTGAGAGATGATGCCAAGCAGGTCCCAGCCGCTTGCCTGCACCCCTGCCCCAGGGCAGGGCAGGAAGCCCCCAGCTCACCAGTGCCGGCAGCGCAGCCACATCACAGCCCTGCACGGGGCCGGGAACGCAGCCCTGCCCATGCACCAACAAGGGCCCCGCTGTTCAGGCTCCGCGGAAGTAAACAGGGACCCTGCCAGCACATTCCTGCTGCTGCCCTGCCTGCACCTCACACCACTCCCCCCCCGCCAGGACACCCATCCCCATGGCAGCATGGACAACGTGCAGCAGCCCCCAGCATGCACACCCTGCCCTGGCACGCAGGGGTACGGAGAGACACAGGCTGGCCAGACAAATAAAATAGATGGTATTTATTAGCAAAATAAAGGACAAACTCTCAGTCAAAGGCCCTGCCAGGTGGCCAGGGCTGCCCCACACAGCCCCATGCTGCTGCTTCCAGTGCCAAAGGCAGGTTCTGCTCTGGGCAGGATGGGCTGCACTGCCCAACGGGAGACAGCATCCACAAGGCACCAACCAGCCTGCGCACATCCTGCTTAGTGGAGCAGGTTTTGGATGCGGTCCAGCATCCGTCCCAGCTCTGAAATGCAGGGTGCCGTGCCTGAACAGAGAGGGGCCTGGCACCCAGCGGGGTTGCCAGTGGGGCTGAAGGTGCAGCCTCCTGGCTCAGTCTCGGCCCTCCCAAGCATCCTCCCGCTGCTTGTTCTCCAGGCGCTTCCTCTCTGCAGAGACAAGAGGAGGGTCAACCCCATGTCCCCATCACCACACAGGTACCCACCCACCCCATGGAGGTGGCTGTAGCCCAATGTGGGGGAGCCCCCTCCCACCCAGCACCCTGTGAGAAAGCACACCCATGAGCAGGGTCGTCCTCCCACCACAGCCTCCCTGGGCAATCCAAATCTCACCCTGGGCTTCCTGCAGCTTCCTACGCTCAGCCTCTCGCTGGGCTGGTGTCTGCTTGCTGCGTACTCCCAGGGCACCAATCACCAGCCGTCTGGCCAGGGCCGCTGATGTTTCAGGACGCTCCTTGGCTGGCTGCAGGAATTCTGAGTGAGCAGAGATGGGGGACATCAGTAAGAGCATCCCAGGAGGACGCAGCACTTAGGTGCTGTGGAGCTATGCAAGCTGCCCTGTCCCTACCCAGTTATCGGGATGAAGATGCTGTAGCGTAAGCACCATGGCACAAGCCAGCATGAGGCAGTACCACTCACCAGCGTACGCCCTGGCTTTGGCTTTAGAGGCACGGGTACCCTGGGACAGTGGACGTGTCTTCACCATCAGGTGCTTGGTGCTGAGGGCATCGCGTGCTGCAGGGAGAGAGTAGTGTTGTCCATGTGTGAGGCCAGCCGCATGCCCACCATCTGGTCATGGGAGAGGCAGGGATGCCTCCCTTCTGCCCATACCCTGCTGAACAGGGAGCAGTACCTGTTATGGGGCTGGAGAAGACACCCAGGGCATGTGTATCATCCACCCACTTAATATCAAAGCCTTTTTTCCTGCCAGAGAGAGGGAAGCTCAGCAAGGCATCAGCACTGAGTGGGCAAGGGTCTGAAGCAGAGCCCAGGTAGGGGACCCCAGTGCCGGTGACAGAGTATTGCAGGCAGACTCACTGATAGCTGCAGAAGACACGCATCAGGTCCTCAGTGCGGAAATCCGAGGGGAAGTCATAGATCTCGATGACATGGGGCAGCTCATCGTCGCTGATGTCCGGTGCAGCAGGCTCAGCCCCATAGTAGTCAAAGCGGGGTGATTGCTGGCTCTCCTGCCTCTTCTTGCCCCCTGAGAGCTGCAGGGGTGGGAGAGGCACAGCACTGAGCACCCCCTGCCCACTGGCCAGCTCCCAACCCATAGCAAGTGCTCCCTGGGAAGTGGTTCTGCCTCCACGGCCCACCCCAACACTGCAGATGGATTCATGGCATCAAGATATTAGGAGTTATTGACTGGAGTTCTCATGCTATGCACTTGCTTTGCCCATTACCAGCATCCCTCCACTTGCTGCGCTCTGCAACCCCACCAGAGACACAGTAGGAATGGCACCAGTGACACCCCCAAGCACAACCCTCCTTCTGCAGTGACCCAAAATACATTTGGGGAACCACAAGGAGTAGGACAGCAAGGCCAGGAGGAAAGACTGATGTCTGCCTGCCATGCAGGAGCACTGGGCTTGGCATGCCCCTGCTGCAGCACATGCACTGAAGCAGCCCATCAGCACCCCAGCTCCCAGTGTGGAAAAGCTGGTGCTCTCCAGAGGAGCAAGTTCTGGTGGTTAATCACCTGCACAGCTAAAATGTATGCCTTACTCTTCATTTGAATTTGTCAGTCTCTGCTCCCCAGCCGGCGGATCTTGTTCTGTCTCTCTGTTGGATTAAAGAGCCCTGAGTCCCCAGTCTCCTCCCCATGATGGAACTTACTCATGCTAATCAAATCCCTTCTCAATCTTCCTCCTGATAAGCGAAACAGTTTGTGTGCCTTTAGTATCTCACCGTGGGGCACTTCCTCCAGCCCTAAAAGATGATGGCTATACACTTTGTTACCTCTCCCGTTTTTCAACCTTCATTTCAAAACATGGGCAGCAGTGTCCCCCTCCCATGACATGGGGCTGCAGCTGCCCCCTACTCCCCTCTGCCCAACAGCATCGATGCCTGTATGCCCCCCTGCACCACTCTCTGCCCAGTGAGCTACCCTGCACTGCTTCCTGCACTTCTCTTTCCAAAGTGCACCCTGCCAATGGCAAAGGGGGCTGCAGCTCACACACTGGGCCAAAGGCACCAGAGGCTCCCCCATCCTCCCTGGAGCATGGCGCCATGGACCAGGTACATAATTCAGCCAGGTTCCCAGCCTGATCCCCCAAGCGATCGTAGCACAACACACCGTGGCGGGAAGAGTCCATAAATCCCAGCCAGCTCAGTCAATAAAAAGTGCTCATTCCGACAATTTTATGGGGAAGATGGATTCACAGCAGGTGAGGGGGTGCTGCTGGGGCGGCTGGATGCTGGTGGGGGGTAGAGCTGAGTGATGGAGCTCATGGGACAGGCCAGCACTGCCTGCCCTGCCACCATCACCCTTTAACCGAGCAGAACCCTGCCTGCTCAGGAAAGCGAAGGAGCCATCCCCAGGCAGGATGAAGCCCTGCGGTGCCGCTTGAGGGAGCAGAGTGCTCGGGGAGTGCCAGGCGCAGGGAGGATGATTAGAGAGCAGGAGCACAGAGTGCCGGAGCGGTCCTTGACCTTCACAAATCACCCAGTGTGGTGGGGCAGCAAGGACAGGAGCCGTCTGCCTGCAGGCTCAGCTGTGCAGCACGCATGGCTCAACAGGTACCCCCTGCACTGCCAGCCCAGGCACACAGCGTGCCCAGAGCCCCCCAGCCATGGGGCAGGGCAGGGAGCAGGAGCTGATGTATGGCTGATGGATGGAGAGAGGGATGGCAGAGACAGGCACCATGGAAAACAAAGCCTTCACATCACACCTTGCTGCTCACTAAAGACAGACCCTCACCAGAGCACGTTAGAGGGGTCCATGGCCGGTTTCTTACACACCGTCCCACATGCTGAGAGTGCACCTCCAGAGCTGGAGGGAAGGTGTGTGCTGGCACTCACATGGTCCCCACCTCGCTGCACTGGCTCATGGAGAGTCCTCCAAGCAGTCGCAGTGCTTCATTACCCTCTGTGCTCGAACTGATCTCTGCTCTGAATTTGTCTGGTTTCAGCTTCCAGCCCATGGATCTCGCCATGGTGTTTTTCCTGCCACATTAAAGAGCCTTCCACTATCAGAAATCTCTTCTCCATGCAGAACGCCATAAATCTCGCTCTCTGCCAGCTATCTGCATCGCATAAGGATTCAGTTACGAGGAAGAACGTTACTAATTTTCTTGTGCTTTTTGTTAATTAACAACAGCTCCCTCACCCCCAGAGCCTGTGCCCCACCTCAGCAGCCACCATCTGCAGAGGGCTCGGGAAGCACCACGCTCAGCATGGGAACCTGCAGGGGGTGAAGATGGGAAGATGTAATCAATAAACCCCCTTTTCAGGTTCTTATTTACCCATATGGGGAAGCTCCCTGGAAAGCTCAAACTTCGCTCAAAGCTAACGTGGATACTCCAGAGCTCCTTGGAGTTAGCACCCGTGCTGCACGGCACAACCTTGCCCACAGCAACCTATGGCTGCACCATAACATGGGCCCTCCCAGGGCCAGGCAGCTACTCAGCTGCATCCAAGGACAGAGCCGTGCCCACCGTGCCATCCCATGGAAAGCCAGTGCCAGCACCACATGTGCCCTCAGAGCAGCAGCACTGTGGCCCTTGCACCAGTGCTCGCCATGACCTCCCTGCTGGGGCCACAGCAGAGGGGAACACAGGCAGGGATGGGGGTACCCACACCCTCCCATAGTCTCCCTCCAAGCAGCCCCACAGGCACACCCCATGTGCCCCACACCCAGCCCCATGCTGGGCTCAGAGGGGGCACAGAAGCCAGAGGTGGGTACCAGCACCCTTTGGTAAAGATGCTGTCATCAGGCACCATGAACTACTTCACACCCTGCTTCCAGCCCGGGGTGGACAGACACTGGAGGTACCAATATTAGTGCTGTTTGTTACTTTGGGCACATTAATGCTGTTCAGAAAATCACTGTGTTGACGCTGCTGATTTAAAATGCAATAAGTGACATCCAGCCTCGCTGCAGGGGCTGAGCCTTCCTCACAAGGGGCAGGAAAACAGAGTAGGTCTTGGTGCTAAGCAGCTAATTGTAGTAAATCCAGCCGCACGCGTGCAGGAGGGGATGGTAATGAGCCACAGCTGATTGAGAAGCTGCGGTTTCGAGGAAACATCCCGTTGCTATTTCAATGGGAGCCCATACATCTCAGCCCATTTCTTTATCACCAGCCCTGGTTTCACAAGGGTGCAGTTGCGGTTTATGGTGCTTAAGCAGGTTTTACTGGGTGCACTTTATGCACTGTAAAAGGGAAGATCTCCCCAAGCCTTCACCAGTACTGAGGGACAGGATGGGAATCCAGCAGGGGGGTGAAGGTGGAGATCCCCGGCACTGCAGGCAACCCGTGCCCTTAGTGAGAGCTGATGGTACCGCAGGCAGTACAGCCAGGCAGGCCGTATGCCCTGGGTGCATCCTCCCCACCATGCACCCACCTGGGAGGACACAGGGACAACTGTCGCCCTCGGACCCCTGTCCCCACAGCAGCAGCCACCACCCCTGCAAACCCTCATGGGTGCTGGCTCGCAGCACATACCTCCTCCAGCAGGCGTGGGTCCAGGCAGTCTCCATCATCATTGAACAGCATGTCCCAGCTCTCCTCGGCACCCGGGCTGGCCTGGTTTGGGGTTCTGGCACTGGTGCTGCTCTGCTCTTCCTTTGGGGAGCTGCTACGGAGACCTCTCTCCTCCTCCTTGTTCTCCGGGCTGCACTGGTGCTGCTGTGGCAAGCCTGCATCCTCATCTGCCCCTGCTGGCTCCTCAGCCCAGGCTGCAGGCAAGAGTTCCTCTACACCACGGCACAGCAGCTCCAGGGGTGCTGGGGGCTCCCCGCTCTCTGAGGGTGCCCCATTCCATGATCCACTCGCCAGCTCCTCGCTAGCACCCAGCCGGCCACTCTCAGCCCCAGTGCTGCCGTCTGTGCAGGCAGAATGGCTGCCCGCTCCCTCCCCACTGGGATGTGCAGCACATGCACTGCTCTCTTCCTTGCCATGTGGAAGCCGGGATGGGCTGCCCATGCCCTGCCCCGGGGTGCTCTTCCCTGGGAGCACTGGAGCATCGTCCGTGCCACCCCCTGAGCGCTCAGGTTCGCAGCTGACTCCCGGTGCACCCAAGACACGCTCTGCCGTTCCTCCCCAACTCTCCTCATCCTCTGGCACCCCAGTGGCACAGCCCTCACTCTGCCCTGCCTGAAGAGAACCCCCACACTCCCTCTCTTCCTCCTGGGCTTTTGGACCCATTGCCTCCCATGCCAGCCTGTGCATACTGCCCAGGTCACCCAGCCCTGCTGGCTGCAGGACATCCTCTCCTGGGCTCTGGGAGACATCCCTAGCTGGGCCTGGGGACATCTCTGACACACCACTTGGCCCTATCTGACATGCTGGCGTTGGGCTGGTGGGGTCACCCCCCGGCTTGGGGATAGCCTCCACGGCCCCAGGCTTGGCACTCAGTGTGGATGGAGGGTCAGGCTGAGTCCTCATCATCTGTTGGCCATGGCTGACCCCCCCAAGTCCTTCCCTATGGGATGCTTTGTCCTGGGCAACAGCCGGATCCAGGCACGGCTCCCGTATGCTGGGTGATGCTCTTAGGCTCTCTGGTGCAATGGGGCGGTTGCCTCCCAGCCTCGAGCTGTGGCCAGCAGAGGCTGCCCGTGGCTCCTTGGGGCCAGCATCCCCCTTGTTCTCCCTCCTCGCCACTCTGCCCGCCTGTGTCCTGGCACGGGGGCTTCGCCTCTGCCCCTCGCTGCTGGCCTGGCAAGTGTCCTGCCCCAGGCGGTGGTTCTCAGGCTCCCGGCGCTGCCCGGCTGCTGTGCTGCCTGCTGCTTGCACTGCTCTCTCCCGCCGCGCTTTGGGCACATAAAGGGCCATGTCGGGCTTCCTGCGGCGTGGCCGGCTGCCCTCAGCTTCCTGCTGCATGGTGCCACCGCTGCCTGCCAAGGAGAGACAGTGTCACTGCCCTGCCTGCGCCCAGCAGCCCCTAGCCAGGTCAGTAGGTTGGGGTCCCAGCCTGGCACCCACCCTCACTCCAACAGCAGTTGGCACACAGCAATGGACTGCAGAGCCCCAACACTGCACCCACCACAGCAGGTCTACAGATGGGGTCTGGCACTTGGAGCACCTCGCAGCCCTACAGCCTTTGGTGGGGTTTACCAGGCTTGGGTGAAGCAGGGAAACCCTCCCAGTACCACTGGGATGCCTGCTCCACTCTGGTAGCTGCTGCCTGGAACCCCTGAGCCTCAGGGGCCAGTATCCACAGCTGAAGCAGGACACACAGCCCTTGCACCATTCACGCATCAAAATCTGTGGAGAAGCTGGTGGCAGCCACAGAGCACCATAACCACAACTCCAGCCCAGGACCAGGGCTGCCACCCCAGCATGCCACAGCCCCGCTCACCTGCTGCCCTGTCCTGGCAGAGATTTATTCTTCATCATCTTTGGCAGAAGCAGGCACGCCACAAGCTGCCAGCCCCCCTGTCCCTATAAATATGCATCAGACAGAGCTTACAGAGATGGATGGCGTGGGGGGCTGCGCTGCGGTTGAGGGGAAGGCAGAGTGGGGCTGGGCTGGGGCCCCGTGATTAATCACTGCCCACTCCATTTAGGGGGATTCATCACAGGCCGCTGTCAGGTAAATCACTGGAAAAACACCTCTTCAGTAATTAATGTGAAGTGACGGATGGACAGCCCCCAGGCCCATTAATCTGGACCATCAGCGCCGACCGAGATTATGAATGTCAGGATGCATAAACTGCCGGCGGATCAATAGGGCCAGGAACCCATCCAAGGCTCTCATTTCCGAGGCACCTCCGGTACATTAGCCTCCCCTGCACGCAGCCCCCGACCAAGGCGCGAATGCTCCCCGTGGCCCCTCACCGACAGGCAGCAGCGGTGCCAGGAAGGCGAGGGGAGGCCAACCACTGGCTGGAAAGCGGCCGGGGCAGCCCATGCCACACGGCATCACCCCCTCCTCCTGGCAGACGGGGGGGACAGGCGGCTCCCTCAGCGTGATGGATGGATGGGTCTTTTGCGGCTCTCTGGAAACCACTGGCAAGCCAGGGCAGGGCAGTGCTCCCCAGCATCACCATGGCATCCGTGCCTGCGCCTCCTGCCAGGGCACTCCTGCCCACTTCTGTGGCACAAGGCGCAGGCACGGGCGCCGCAGGGATGCTGGGCACAGTCCCAGGCTGCCCCAACCATTTTCCTGTCTCCGCAGCTCTTGTCATTTTTCCCCCTCTTTGATACACTAATTTTGCTGGCAGAACGATCCACTTTATCGACCGCGAGAAAGGAACGTATCCTACAAACCCTCCAAGGTCTGGATTAGTCATTTTTCAAGACCAAGGCATTATACATTTTCCCACTGAGCGGCAGCCCCGGTGCAGGAGAGGAGGGGGCACCTGTAGACCCCTGGCACCACTATCTCCAACCACACAGAGCTTCCAACTGCACTGAAGCGCATTCTGCTAAAGGACTTTTCCCAGCCAAGCCCATGGGATATCACCAAACAGCCTGGGGAGAGGAACACAGATCCCCCCATGCTCTGCTTCCCAAGGATTCCCAGCAAGGGGAGCAGCCAGGAGCAGCGCTGCTCCACACACATCCCAAGTCACCTCCAAGAAGAGCCTTCACATGCAGGATTTATGGGCTCCTCAAAAGCTTGCCGTTCACCTTGCCGCACCCTCCAAAAGCAGATGGTGCGGCATTAGCCAGATGAGTGGTGCTGGGAGCATCCTCTCCCCATGCAGCTTTGCCTCTGCCTGAGGCTCACTGAGGGGGAAGAGCTGCATCCCGCAGCCCTGGGAGAAGCACAGGAAGGTGGCGGCTGGCCCACGTTGGCAAACAAATGCTGCAGCACTTTGTTTCCTCCCTATAGGGCAGCACAGCTCCTGCCCCCAGCCTATTACACACTTCACCGATGCCACAGCCACGTGTTGGCACCGACGGATTACACGCTCCAGGAGGCAGAGCAACAGCCCTGGCTTCGGGTCTCATTCACACTATCCTGGACAGGGCAACCCTGCTGCATCCAGACTCTGGGACCAAGCTCACCCTGCAAATTCAGATGGCAATGGTCAGCACAGCCCCAAAAGGGCCCATGACGCCCTGAGTGCTGCCCTGCTTTTTGAAGACAGCTAGCAAAACAGCTTGCCAACACAGCACCAAGCAGGTAAAAGGATGCCATGGTACCAAGGCAAAAGTGGTGGTGGGATTGCTGCCCAGCTGCCTGGCACACAATGCCCACCAATCCAGCACAACACAGCCTGGTGTGGCCAGGGGATGCTGGAGAATCAGCCAGAAGGTGGTCAGAGCTCCCTACAGGCACGAGCTCCCTTCACACCATCCCCAGGACTACACGGCTCATGGGGAGCTTGTGGCACGAGTTTGTGAGGCCTCAGAGCAGCTGCTCAGGCAATGTGCCAGCCTGTCTCTCTTCTCTAGGGACCATCTGCAGCACAGACAGGCAGCATTTTCTCCCTGATTTCTCACTCCTTCTGGTCCAGGGAAGGGCCCCACAAACAACAAGACAGGGCTGACCACATCACAGACCGGACTGCACTGCTCCATCATCTGCATCCCTGCCCAGTAGGGGAGGACACCTACACCACAGCTCCAGCGGCACCAGCAAAGATGCCGGCCACGGTCCCACTTGGGGAAGCTGGGAACAGGCATGGATGCTGGGCTGCAGGGTTCACCGGGAGCATGCCAGTTCCCGGAAAAGTTTCGGTGCCACCCAGTGCCCTCCCAGCAGGCTACCGCACTTCCTGGCAGGGAGCTGTATTTTTAGCCTTCGAGGTTTCTAATTCCACTCAATCCATACTCCCATCAATAGAGCAGATAACCTTAAAGCCTTGACAGTGAACGGGGATGGCAGCACGGGACCGGGAGCCTTGGGGGACCCCGTGTGCAGCCTCGGCACGCAGCTCGCACACCCGCAATGTCACTCTTTATAGACTGACACAGATTGGGCTCTTTGGGGCGGGGGGGAATAAATAAACACAAGAACAGGACCAATAAAAAAGGCAGGTACAAGGAGACTCTAAACAGCCCCACAGGGGAAGCCACCACTCGCAGGGCGCATCCCATGCCAGGCACGTGCCTTGGCACGCTCGCTGACTGCACAACACTGGTGCCCAGCAGCCTGGGTAAGGACTGGCTGGGGTTTTGGCTACCTGCACCTCTCCTGCTCCCAACAGATACACAGCCCAGCCCACCTGGCTCACACAGCAGGCAGCGGGGCCAGGGAAAGGCAGAGAAAAGGAAAGAGCCCCGTGCTGCCAGCACAAGGCAAGGGAAAGCACTTCAAGGAGCAGAGAGACGCATCCTGTCCAATGCCTGCCCACAGCCCCAGCGGCTTTAAGACAGCCCTGTCCCCTGCTGCCAGAAGAAGGATGCTCTCCAGCAGCTGGAGCAAACACTGGCTATGGGAGGAGGCAGCAAAAGCATCAAAGATGCAAAGGAAAAAGAGATTTCAATTGTGCCTTTCATTTTCAGTTCTCTTAGGAGACACCTGGACAAGAGGAGGGTGAACAGTTTCAGACAGGAGGAGGATTTGTAAGTCACTAGTGTCTGCTCACAGCTGCAGGAGAGAAAAGGGACAACAAACCAGCAGGAGTTAACAGCTGGAGAGCTAAGTGGAATACAAAGGACTTTACAAATAAACCCAGCAGAATCAGCACAAAAGTGAAAAGATCTATTAATAAACAAGGAGGGAAAGAAAATTAATGATGGCTCAAAAATAAAGATGACTCAAAAGGGCAAAATTACTGTTTTTAACCAGAAAAATGCAAATGAGGCAGAGGCCTCACAAAAACAGCTGCAGGGAAAGCAAAAACAGCATCTCCACATAGACACGGTCACCTGGCCGGTGTGGCAGTGCCGAGATGAACCCATGGACCCGCCAACACATATATGGTGCCAGGAAGAAACCAGGGCCCTGGTGATAGGCAGGGCAAACCAGGCACTGATTCTCTGTGTGAGCCAGTCAGGATAAACCCTGTGCCCATCCCGAGCACAGAACACAAGGGGCAGAGGAAGGAGCCTGCACACTCACTGCGATGGGCGCCTGGATGAAGGACATTGGCTCGACCAGCAGAAGGAATTTCAGAGGAATTACTGGACAAAGCTTTTGGACAAGGCAAGCAAGGTGCATTTCAGCTGAACTTCACGGTATTGTTCTAAACCATCTCCCAAGCCTTCACCTGAATAGTGAAATGCAATTCAATTTGCAGGCAGTACTGACCAGACATTGCAAACATTGGCCAGAATAGGGAAATCATTCAAAAGATCTGGGAAATCATTCAAAGGATCTGAGAAATGTAGGAAATACAGGTAGGAAACAAACTGAGACCCAGCCTGGGAAAATTAAGGTAAAATAACCCAAGGCAGCCACTTGGTGGGCAGCAACAGCCTGAAAAGCAAAGCCCAGAGCCCTGTGGTGCACTCAAAAAGCAGGTGGCTGTGGCGACCACCCCAAAATGTGCAAGGGGAAGAAGGTGGTCACCAGCATCACACCATGGGCCAGGCCATGGCTACGACAGCCCCAGAGCGGGCTGCACGCAGGGCTGTGTGAAGGATGGAGGGGATGCTGAGGGCAGGCAGCTGTGAGAAACAGCATCCAGAACCTGGGAGCACTGGGCACATGTTTTATGAGCCACGGGAGCCCAGCACACCAAGCACCCGGGGACGTTGTATAACTCCTGTGTCCTCAAGGCTGTCCTTGCCAGCATTGTTCAGTGACTCAGTAAGCTGGGGGGAGTTATGGGGTGTGCAATGTGCCATGTTATCTGGGTGCTCCAGGGGCTGTGTGCCAGAAGCGAGTGGGACCAGCCTAGGCCATGGCGTGGGGGTCAGGGCTGAGACACGGAGTGAGGGTTGGGGCTGGGACAGGGAATAGGGGTCAGAGCTGGGACACGGGGCAGGGGCTGGGGCAGGGAACAGAGGCTGGGACAAGGAATAGGGCTCAGGGCTGGGGCAAGGAATAGGGGTTGGGGCTGGGACAGCGAATGGGAGTCATGGGTGGGACATGGGGTGGAGGCTGGAACAGAGAATAGAGGTGGGAGCTGGGACACCGGGGTGAGGGACAGGGCTGGGGTAAGGAGGGGAGAGCGGGTCAGGGGCACAGTGTGCAGCCCTGGGACCGGGCAGGGCGCGCACCGCGGGCTGCTGTGCCCCCGTCCCGAACTCCCCGCCGAGCCGAGCCGAGCCGGGCCGAGCCGAGCCGAGCCGAGCCGGGCCGAGCCGAGCCGAGCCGAGCCGGGCCGAGCCGAGCCGGGCCGTGCCGAGCCGGGCCGTGCCGAGCCGAGCCGGGCCGAGCCGAGCCGAGCCGGGCCGAGCCGTGCCGAGCCGAGCCGGGCCGAGCCGAGCCGAGCCGAGCCGGGCCGAGCCGAGCCGAGCCGAGCCGAGCCGGGCCGAGCCGAGCCGAGCCGGGCCGTGCCGAGCCGAGCCGGGCCGTGCCGAGCCGAGCCGGGCCGAGCCGAGCCGGGCCGAGCCGAGCCGACCAGCCGGGCCGACCGAGCCGAGCCGGGCCGAGCCGGCCGGGCCGTGCCGAGCCGAGCCGGGCCGAGCCGAGCCGAGCCGAGCCGGGCCAGCCGGGCCGAGCCGGGCCGAGCCGAGCCGGGCGAGCCGAGCCGGGCCGAGCCGAGGGGGCCGAGCCGAGCCGGGCCGTGCCGGCAGCCGTGCCGAGCCGAGCCGGCCGAGCCGAGCCGAGCCGAGCCGAGCCGAGCCGGGCCGAGCCGAGCCGAGCCGGTGCCGTGCCGAGCCGAGCCGAGCCGGGAGCCGAGCCGAGCCGGGCCGCGCCGAGCCGAGCCGAGCCGAGCCGAGCCGAGCCGAGCCGAGCCGTGCCGAGCCGAGCCGGGCCGAGCCGGGCCGAGCCGGGCCGAGCCGAGCCGGCCGTGCCGAGCCGAGCCGAGCCGAGCCGAGCCGAGCCGGGCCGAGCCGAGCCGAGCCGGGCCGTGCCGAGCCGAGCCGAGCCGGGCCGAGCCGAGCCGAGCCGAGCCGGGCCGAGCCGAGCCGAGCCGGGCCGTGCCGAGCCGAGCCGAGCCGGGCCGAACCGAGCCGAGCCGGGCCGTGCCGAGCCGAGCCGGGCCGTGCCGAGCCGAGCCGGGCCGAGCCGAGCCGAGCCGGGCCGAGCCGGGCCGAGCCGAGCAGAGCCGGGCCGGGCCGGGCCGAGCCGAGCAGAGCCGGGCCGGGCCGGGCCGTGCCGCCTGCCAGGCCGCCGCCGTTACCAGTGGCCGCGCCAGGTCCCCCGCCGCTCCGCGCCGCCGCCACCGCTTCCGCCGCGCCGAGCCCGCCCCGCCGCGGGGAGCGCCGGGACCTGTAGTGCAGCACCGGCACCCGCCCCGCGCCCCGGGCGGCCGCTGCTACCCGGCTGGGCAGCCCCCGCGGCTCCCCCGGCCACGCTGGCATACCCGTGTCGCACCCGGTCCTCTGCGCATCCCCGGAACTGGGACCACCACGGGCATCCCCGGGGCCGCCGCGATCCTTCCTGCCCCAGGCACCACCGAGGGGAGGGCTCTCCGTTGCTGGGGAGTGATGGACACGGGGCTGCAGGAGGGAGAGCGACTCCTGCTCCCGCCTGCCCGGGGCACCGGGGAATTGCCGGGGGCTGAGGTCACATCGCAGCGTGCCGGCCGCCCGGACACGCAGCCCGGGGAAGGTGTGTGCGCCGGTTCGCTCCGCTCCCTTCCCGCAGTGTGGCGAGGCGCAGCCTGCCTGTGCCCCGCACGTCATGAGCGGGGCCCTTCTCTTGTCGCGCACTCGCAGGCAGCTTGGGCAGCGCTGGGAACGTGCATCCTGCGGCTCCTAATGAAGCGCTGGTGCTGCAGAGCACTGAGCGGGCCTGTACCTGCGGGGGAAGGATGGGGGAACAGGGCTGGATTCTCCCACAGGCAAGGCGAGCGCTGGCAAGGGAGAGGGGCGGCTCGGGGGAACCATGCAGGCGTAGGGCTCACTGTCCGTGCAGGCCGATGGGTGCTGCAGCCGCCCTGGTTTGTGTGGTTGATGGACAGAGACAGGGACAGGGGCTCAGCCCCTCCCTCCCCTCCCAGGACCTGCTTCCTAACAAGCCAAAGCTCTCCGATGCAACTTCCAAGCAGCTGCTTCCCAGGGCATCCTCATTGCTGCAAGTGAGGGAGGAGTGATGCCCCATAACATGCACACTGCCTAGTATGGTGGGCTGCAAGGCTGGTGCCCAGGCAGCTGAGGAGCTGAGGGACCAGGGACCTGCCTCCCTGTCAAGGTGTCACTGGGGCACTGCATGGGGTATCAGTGCAGGGGGTTGTGCCAAGCATTTTACCCTTCCTTGGGTGCAGCTACAGGGTCAGGGCTGCTGATGCCTGAGATCTCAGATGCCCTGAAGTACTCTGCTACGCCAGGACCAGTATTGGGACCATGGTAGGCCCAGTGGCTCAGACTCGGATAGATAGGGTGATTCCAGCCCAGCCGCATTCCCTGGAGCAGGATAAGGAAGGCTCACACCAGGCAGGGCCACCCAGCACCCCTTGGGAAGTAGCGCCTGCTCCAGCCCACAGTGATGCACAGGGGACCGTGGTCCCTCTTGCAGGTAATCGATGGCAACAGATTCTGATCGCTTTCATTATTATTATTATTTTCTTATGCATGTGCGCACAGGAGATTTATTACCAGCTATGGAGGCAAGGTCAATTATTCATGTTATAAATTAGAAAATGATTTATGTTTGTGGGAGGCCAAGCAGCGTGGAGCCCCTGGCCACGTGGGAGCTGGGTTTGTCTGCAAATGGCACCAGACACCCCCTGCCAGCACTTCCCCGGGCTTTCTGTCCCTGCCACGTGGATGGGGTGCCCCTATCCCGTCACAGCCCAGGGTGACCCAGGGATGGTGGCTGGCAGGGAGCGCCCAGCCTCTCCTGCTCTGTCAAGCCAGGTGCCCTCAGACAAAGCCCAAGGAAGGCTGGGGACAGCGGTGGCCTGGTCACCCCGGCTGGTGTGGTGGGGTGATGCTCCACAGCAGTTTCCATGGCAGCAGCAGCATCACTGTCCAAGCACTGTGAGGTGTGGGCTGCAGAAGGACCCCCTTGCTTTTTTCCACTGGAGACATTCACATGTGTCCTCTCCAGCCCCAGAAGCTGTATCTATGCTACTGTCTCACACAAAGGTCATGGTGGTACTCTCTAGACTGCTTCCCACAGGGACAAGGACCCATTGCAATGCTGACACCCCCATGCTCCCTGGAGAAGAGGAGAAAGATGAGGGCAAGGGGGCAGCAGTGTAAAGGCACACCACTTGCACCAGCCCCTGAGGCCAGCTACCCCAGACTGGAGCTGCATGGCTTTGCTTGACTGTGGCCCACCTTCTGTGCTAAGGGGATCTCAGGTGTCCTGGGACTCTTTCCCAGCTGTGGAGACTCTATTCCCCAAGGGCCGGATGATGATCTATACAGAGCAGGGTGGCACTGGGCTCCCAGTGCTGGGGCAGGGGTTAGCTGCTGCTGCCAGGTCTGCCCCAAGGCACTCAGCCTGGGCTGGTGAGAGCTGCAGCATCCCATGGCTCTGCACTGGGGGGTAGCACCCCCGTTCTGGCTACCTTGGCATCCTAAACCCCACTGCCCATGTCACACAGCCAGCGGGAATGAGTGCCAGGAGCCGGCCGGCCGGTCTCTGCTGATAGCCAGGGCTGCTCTTGCTTCTGAAGAGTTTTGATCTAAAGCTGCTGTGTCTGTGTCTCCCCGGGGACAGCAGAGCGGGCTGGGAGTGCTGCCTGGCTCTCCTTGTCTGTTCATCTGCAGCTGCGTCAGCCGGGGCCGTGGGGAGGCACAGCCTGAAAGGAACAGCACAGGAGAGAAAGGAGCTGTCAGCGGCCCCAGATCTGGGTCTGATCACAGGCGAGCCATGCATCCGGCTCTGGGAGGATCTCTGGCCCTTGGGATGGGAAGGAGAGGCAGCACAGGGCAACCTCAGCTCTTCGCTGGTGCCCTGAGCAGCCTTTTCTCTCAGTCTCTGAGCCTTGCAGCCTCCTCCCAGGCACCCAAGAGCCTGTCACACACTGCGACCCCCAGGGCTCTGAGGGAGCTGAGAGCTTTCTGGCTCGACCCACACATGGGGGTGTCAGAGGGTGCAGGGGTTTTGGCTGCCCCCCGGCTCCCTGCCAGGGTATGAGCAGGAGGAGCACTGACAGCCAGGCACAGCCCTGGGGCACTCTGCAGCCATACCAGCCTCCAGCCAGGCCTTAGGGCTCTCTGGGACTGCACCCTGGGTGCAGAGGATGTCAGAGAACTGCCGCTGTGGCCTGGGACCCCACTGAGCTGTGGGCACTGGGCATCACACTGAAATTCCAGGCAATACATGAGCAATGTTCCAGGGCCAAGCATTGCCTCCAGTGCCTCACTGCGCCCCAGTCCCGGGGAGCCCAGTGCCAGCCCATGCTCATGAGGGCATCCCTCTGATTTATTGCTGCAGAGCAAATGCTTACTGAGTGCTTTTGGCAGAGAAAAGCCCTAGGGAGCTGCAGCAGGCGAGCAGAGGCAAGGAGGGAATTGCCCATCTGCTGCAGCGTGTCAGGGGCACCCAGAGCACCCACAGCCATGGGTCTCTCCCCTACCCCCAGCCAGGGGACACACTCAGCCCATGGTCTGGGTCTGTGGAGAGCTCAGGGCTGGGGTAGATCAGATCTGCTCTGCATTATTGCACCCAACACCTGGGGACTCGGCGGCTCGTGACAGTGCTGTGTAATGTGGGGAAGCAGCTCGTGGTGCAGGCTGGTGCTGCCGGGAGCTCACAGGCAGCCTGGTTGTGGATGGGGAAGCCGAGATCTCTTGCTTCCCGTTTTCCTGCATACCTACAGTGAATAGGCACAGCAGGCTGCGCTTGTGCTGCAGGAATCAATACTGCTTCAGGAATGGCCTGGGTGCTCCTCCCTGCGCTCCCTTGGGAGCCTGCCCCTCTCCCTGAGCTACCGCTGTTGTCTTCTTTGAGTTATTGTCTGGAATACCAGCACTCTCAGCAGGACCGTGCAGCAGCGTGGTGTGGCTGGTGACAACCCTGGGACTGGGGATCTTGCTAACCCGGATAGCCTGGCTCCTTCAGGAGATGCAGGGGAATAAGAGAGACCTTCTGGGTAAGATCTGGGTTTTATCCTGACTCAAGGTAACCCCGGCTGGCACCATGTCACAGCCTGCTCCATCGTGACCCTAAGAGGTACCAGGGCACAGTCGCCAGCTCCGGAAGGCAGAGATCCTGCCAGGA